TCTTTAACTTTCTTGTGCAATTCTTTTTGCATAGTGCGCTTAAAGTACCAGTCACATAAAATATGTCTCAGCAGCTCATTGAAACCACAATTCATGGAATTTATGAGTGCAGGGTCATCATCTGTTATGACACAATTGACATTTAAGTCAGGGATTTTTGCTTTTATAGCCTCAAAAAAAAAAAAAAAAACATTTGAGTGTGTGCTCATCCATTTTGCTGCTGATGCAATGAGCAAGAGGATATCCTCTGTTAAGCTCATCAACCCCCATCACATTTAACAGCTGACATGAATACTGATCCATGTCATGAGTGGCATCAACAATAAGGATGGTTTCACTAGCCAACTTCATCATTTCAGCCTGTTCTTTGGTTTGCAACCCCAGCATGAAAATATAGACTTTTGGCCGAATCTGGTCCATACACAAGATGTGGACTTTCGGTCTGGCTAAGTTCATCATGTAGTCCCACTGTTTCTCTAACCCGAGAGGTCTCATCTCGTTTTAACAACTTAGTATAATCTGTACTTTGTCCTCGGTGAGTTTGTCTGTGGCCTGTTCCACTCTTGTTGTCGTTAACTTGGAGGTTATGTTGCCCATGGTTTGCCATGCTTTGGCCTACTCCTAGCTTACCTGTATTGTGTATTTTCAGGGTTTTGTATTTGGTTCGTCACACTGTGCGTTGAGGCCATTCTCCGCCATGTGTTCCTTCACTCCAAGATCAGGAGCAGCAAGCTTGTGTAGTGAAGTGATTTGGATATGGACAAATCTTCTGAGTGAGAAGTTCCCAGTCAGTGCTGTGATTATGTGTTCTACTGTTAAGTCTGTACTTCAGTAAGTCTGTGTTTTAGATTATTAGTTCAAAGTTCTGAATTGTTTGCAAGTAGCAAAACTGATCTGTTCAAGTCATGCAGTCTTTTCGTTGAGACATTCTGTGAGTTTGTGTTCGCCTGGGTATTGAACCAATCTTGCCCAGTGTGTTTTAGTCATACCTTGGGAGAGGTTATCTTTGCACTCTTCAGTGAGTTAGTTAAGTTCTTTTGATTTGATAGAATTTGTACGGTTCTTATTCGAGCTGTTGATATTCTGCTGAAGCCAGTGCCCATGGCGTGCCCGTGCTGATTTTAATTTGGTTCTGTTTGTGAGTACCGTTGGTTCGGTTTGATTGTATTTGTGATTATGTGTATGCATATGAGTATGGATTTGTATGGGCTTGAGTTTTGCCCTTTGTGTGAGTTCTGTGCTTGAGTTAAGTGTGATCTGTCCGTTATTAAAATGGTTGTTTCTGTTATTGTTAAATCGGTGTTGAGTTCAAGAAGCCTATTTCCTTTGATGGTGACTTTGTCCCCTGGCGCCCAAACATTTGTGAGATTATAAAGTCAAAGTTGATCACCCTCACCCACTCTTCATCTAAGGCTTGCCGGTGCCTCCGTTTAACAATATTCAGTTTTAGTCTGTCAGTAATTTGGTGGCTACATTTTGGCGTACACGTTACGTGTTACACAGATACATACCAAAAATAGATAATCCAGTTCAAAATGACAAAAATTCGGAGGAAACCCAGGATTATATACCCCATTATACCACACTCCGTCAACTTCTTGAAATGGCTGTTTATTTCTGAGATGTATTGCTGCATAGTCATATCTTCTTTCTTCTTCACCGACACTAAGTCATCAAGGAATTGCACAATATGTAGAGCAGTGCAACTTCTGCATTCAGTCGTACAGATTCTGTGGGGCGTATGATGTACTCCCCACCTGAAATGCTGGACAGAGAAGATGAATTCACGGGGAACATTTATAGAGGTGCTTGGCATGATGTCATTGGTGATGGACTTCAAAATTTGGCTCGTCAAGGTGGAAATAGACATGCAGATGATGCTCTGCAACTGAGGGAAGATTGGACTGAGTATTTCAATGGTCCAGGAGCTGTCCTTTGGCAAGAGAGAATGATAAGACCAAGAGAGGGGTAATTATATTTTATTAGTACTGTTTAAAATGATTGCTCAAAATATACAATACCCTTCTGTTTCGTAAAATTGTAAAAATTAGTACTTTATCATTAAAAAAATAATGAAACTTAAATTTGAACTGAGTAATGTCAACAGCCTTTCTCATTTCAGTCCAGCTATTTGACACAGGTGGCACAATAAAAATTAAGCCTAGGATGAACCTAAAAAAACTTAATATTATTAGTATACAAACCCGTTTTTGATAGTACAGTAAAAATTACCAACTTAGGAAAACAAGACTAAAAATAATACTGCACAGACATGTGAAAACTTTCAAGGTGCACAGCACAATAAAACATAAAACTAAGACAGCATTTAACATGAAAAGTTTGAAATGCCCACTAAAATGGTAAAAATTAGTACTTTATCATAAAAGAAATAATGAAACTTAAATTTGTACTGAGTAATGTCAACAGCCTTTTTCATTTCAGTCCAGCTATTTGGCACAGGTGTCACAATAAAAATTAAGCCTAGGATAAACCTAAATAAACTTAATATAATTAGTATACATACCAATTTTGGTAGTACAGTAAAAAAAATACCAACTTAGGAAAACAAGACTAAAAATAATACTGCACAAACATGAGAAAACTTTCAAGAGGCACAGCTCAATAAAACATAAACCTAAGACAATATTTAACATGAAAAGTATATAATGCCCACTTCACTGTGGCAAAAAGGTACGGAAAATTCTGTTAATTTTTTTGCCAGGATTCTCCGTAGCCCTCTTATCAATATTCTCCGTAGGCTCTTACAGTACTCTCCGTAGGGCCGTACAGTATTCTCTGTAAGTCCGCACAGTCTTCCCCGTAGGACCTGGAAGACTGTATAGTCCTACGGAGATCACTGTAAGGTCTTACGGAGAATACTGTGCGGTCCTACGGAAAATACTGTAAGAGCCTACGGAGAATATTGATAAGGGGGCTACGGAGAATTACCACAAGCTGTTTACAGAATTTTCTGTAGCTTTTTGCCACAGTGTTTGGGTCTAAAGGAACACAGTACCGAGAAGTAAGTCATTTTAACAGGCACACAGGACAGAAAGAAGTCAATTAGTACTTCAAGACAACCTGAAGTATCTCATTTTCACACTGCTTCCTTGAACACAAATCCAAGGAAGCTAGGCGGCTTGCTATAAAATTAGTAAAATCATTTTGGGCATTAGCTTGTGGCATGGCAGGGGGTACACAAGTTTCAGAAGCAATCTTCTCCATTGCTTGTACAGCAGACTGTAAAAGGCTGCTGTTACTCTTCTTGGTGTTCCCCTTTTTATTAAAAAAATAGTCCTCACTTGCTGCTACTTTAGTTGGGACTGCACATGGAGATGAGCTGGTAGCCGGCCTTTTAGAGGTTGAGGGTGATAGGATAGAGGCCTCACTGGCAGCTTCATTTTCCTCCTGGCGTAGTAGCTCTTGGAAGGCAGCCTCTTGATCCTGAGGAATCGGGTACCATTTCTGAAAAGAGGCATTACAAATGTAACAATTAATTACATGAAGTTAGTCCAGTTACAAATTTACATGTTCAATATAAACTCATACCTGCATTGTCACATCAAAGTAATGTGTTGGTATAGACATGGGCTCGGGTTCATTACAAGTGGATTCCTCAGGCGGTGGAGGTAAGTTCGACTGAGACTGTGCCTGGGCGCAAGTTTTTACCAAGTACAACAGGTACTTGTACAGAAACCAGGAGGGAGTAAACACGTCATCAGACGCACTCCCACTACATTTCTTTTCCGACTCCCGCACTTTGCGGTGGTTCGATGCAAATGTCTCCTTCATGTTTTTGAAGCGTTTGGAGACATCGTCGCCTGCAAAGAAATAAGAATGTTACAAGCACTGGGAAACCTAACCTCAACCATCGTTGCACTATGCCGGGAATTAGAAAGCCAGAGAAAGCAGACTTCTACAAAAAAAAATTCATGATGCGCATGCAAAAATAAGAAAATATAAGAAGCTAATATAAGAAAATATAAAATCTTACCCGTAAACCCTGCGCCGACTACCTCGGCCACCTGAGACCACAGGTTAGGTTTGAGGTCCGTTCGTCGGTAACATTCCAGCGTACAATCCTACAGCGTGGGATGTTTTTCCACCGTCTGCGCGAGGGTCACCTCTTCGCTCTGGGTAAATTTTTTGACGCGAGCTGCCATTTCAATGAAAACTGTATACCTTGATGTCGAACCTTTGAGTCTGTGCCCGGGTGTTGGTGACGCCAGGTACAGCAATGGCATTCCCTATCGCAATCGCAATGTGTACGTGAAGTTGAGTTCGGCATTGAGGAGGGGGGGGAGACACGTGACCTGAGCTGCCGCTCCCATTGGTGGCGGTCGGCGCTGCCGCTCGGATAAATAGAAGCTCGGCTATCCCAGCGCCAGCGCCAGCGAGCGCCCGCTGCTGAGGCGTCCTTTCGTTCTCATATAGGGGGCCCAGCCTAACTTGTCCAAGTCACTCCGCGCGCCCGGTGGACGTAGTGCATTGTATTCAGCCGCCAGGGCAAATAGTTCTCAGCGGGAGATTCAAACTCTGTGCCATCAAGGGGCAGCATTGTCACAGGGTGGGTGGACTTGTAAGGAAAGGTGGAATAAACTCTCGAATTTAGTTTCTGCCTCTGATATCTCTTAATTGCTCCTCTGGTATGTATCTTTGTCATCACGGCACCCTAAGGTTCACTTGTTATTACTTTTGTGAAGCCAGCTTTATGTCATGTGTCACTTAATAAGGTTGAGTGTGTGTCAAAGAACAGAGATAAATGCCTGACAAAGGTAAGGCAGGGTTATATTTAATTAAAAACAAACCTCAGTATAATTTCAATATATTAAATCAACAACAAAAGAATAAAATATTCAAAAACAACTATAACAGATTGAGCTGTTTATCACATAAGTCAGCAATTATGATGTAAATATATTAAAGCAACAACAAAATACAATGACAAAATTAAAAAAAAAACACACATTAGAAATTGAGGTGTTTTATCACATCAGCAATTGAAATTAAAATATGTACAATTAGCAGATCACAAACAATTATAAATACAATGAAAAATGAGGAGTGCAAGTTACAAGCATATTTGCATTAGCTTTGGAAACTTTATGAACTTAACAGCTATTTTTTGGTTGGGTTCCGCCTTCCTCTTTAAAGTCGGACCCCCTCTTTTTCTTGTAACTTTCTTTGCGGCAGCTCTTGCAGCGGGCCATTTGTGCACATCATTCGGAGTGCTGTCTTTCACAGGCACTGACGGAAACAGACTCCCACTGATCAGCTCATGAGCCATGAGCTTACGGTGGAAGTCCATATCTTTCCACCCAATTGCAGACAAAGGGACGTTCCTTGCAAGGGCCTCCAAGAATTTACACATGAAGACCCCACAATCGTCTCCATTTGTCTGCAATGGGGTGTCCACACAGTCAGCACTCCATGACATGATGGGGCACTCATGGCCTCTCCGCCGCTCACACTCCTTGCTGAAATAGTTTCTTAAATTACTAAGTATTTCACTATGATTTCTACCCCCCAAACTATCATATAAACTAATTTTTTTATGCCTCATATCCAATGTGGCGAGGACCCAGTGACCACCCACATTTATGGGGATGGCCACTAGATCATGATGGAACAGAGACTTTTTTAGTTTGATGGTGTGCCTTTGCACACCAGCATACGAACTCCTGCATAGTCGGTTGTAAAAGAACGAAGAGAACACAAAAACAGACGGATAGCCTGGTTTTTGTGATCTCTCAGCAATAAGTGAGAGATAGGCATCAATCACCTGCCCAAAACAAGACACAAAAATTAGATAGTCAATTGTAGATAAGACTCACTGTGGCAAGTTAATGAAAATCCCTACATTACTTACAATATCATTGAGCCACTTGGCCTGAGGCAAGTTGCTCGTTCCCAATACTGATTTGATGTCCTTTCCTCGCACAATTAATTTATTAATGGTGGACATCACAGTTTCGTCCTGACAGCTTGTGCCCATCTGCAATGGAGATAAGGAACGAAAAATAATTGCGCAAACTTCCACTTCACATGACGATTGCCTTAAAAACACGAGCATCTCATACCTGTTCTGCAATGGCACAATACCGAACAGGATCTGGACAATAGTCATGGCCGTAGCCAAAGACAGGCTGCAATGCATCCTGACTGCTTTGGATTGCATCAAGCATATCACACTCGTCATCTGACAGTGCTACGATGTCATTTGGGTCCTATTTATTTGGTAACAAAAGAAAAGGAGCCGTCAATACATAATGCAATTCCACCTGTCAAAGAAAAGGTTAATGTGATACTCACACTATGGCTGGTGGGGAATCCAGCAGCAAATGGAAGAGCACGTTTAGATGTCTGTGTGGGAGGGACTTGTGGTATGGGCTGATCTTCTTCGCTGTCCTCTATACCAAAATCGTCCTCACTTAAAGTCAGTTTGAATTGAGAGTACTCAGTTTGATCAGGTGACTCAACTTGACACTCATTTTGGTAGCACGCCTCAATGAGCTCCTCTGTATGTCGTACACAGTTGGCCCAAACCTCAGGGGTGATGGAATCCAGAGCCTCCTCCCACACACGTATCATTGCCTCCTCAGAGTCCCCGCACTTGCCAACATTGGCTTCAAAGTATGCTTTCACTATCCCCCATATCAACTCTATGGGGTTGAAGTGGCAATGGTAAGGGGGTAGCCATAGGGGACGGATATCATACTCGGAATTGTTTAAAATCAGATCAATGTTGAACCTTGGAGAATAAAGAATAAAAAATGGTCAATAACAGATGATATACAGTATTACTTACGATGATTCACAGCGTGCTGAGTATGTAGCTTCAGATGTTCACCATTTATCCTCACTAGCAGAAATTTCAGCAGCTAGGCTGGCCAATTGCTTCACATTGATTTTGTCCTTGAAGGTAATTCCACGGCGCTCAAACCAGTTCAGATAATCTTGCTTGAGGAAGGTAGACTTCACAGGGTCACCAGCCTGTAATTTTGTGTACAAAATAAGGAGAAGGCAAAAAGACTCTTTTGTTTTCATCTGGGACTGGGTCTGCGCTGTATAAAGAAATTAAAGTGAACAGAACAGAGACCGCAAAAAAAATTAGAGCAGCCACAATTACAGCAAACACACCTGCTATAGCACTGCATGCACCTTGTCAAATAGGCAGGGCTTGGGCTTCCCACCCTCTTCACCAGTTTTGAAGGCAACTTGCTGCAGATAATTATTATAAGAGTACTCCAAGTTTCGCCACTTTTGATGGCACTTCTCACCAAGTTTGGCCACATCATTTGTGCCGAAATTGAATCCCATTTCTAACATTTCCCTCCCAATGCTTTCCCACACATATTTCTTGGTGGTTTTGATCATTGAACTTATCAGTATATTTTTCCGAGGAATAAAGTTCAATGAGCTCCTCAGCCGCTTTGATATCTAAGGCAGTTGCCTTTCTTCTATTTGGTGGCCAAATAATGTCCTCAGCGGTTGAAGAAGAGGAAGCCGATGTTGATGGCATGGAAGATGGGGACTCTTCGAACATCAGCCACTGCTGATTGCCAGTGACAGAGTGCACATACAGTTGGGCTGTGACACCCGTGGGCGTCGCCGTCACGATCTCCTGCCCGTCAATCAGGACAGGGCCCCATTCTCCTTCACTAGCCATGGTATTCTGAAACAAGCAATGTTAAATGTTAAATCATCAACTCAGATACAAGTTTGAGCTGTCTCAATAGAAAAAGAAATGCTCTGCACGTTGAAACCATGATATGACCAGTTCCTCAACCTTCCTTTGATTAGAAATAGTTACAATTTGAGCCCATTTTACATGGTTTCTCATGAATGGCTTGGTTAGGTTACCACATTTGCACGGCTCGGGAAAAGGGGGCTTATTCAAAAAAAGTTCAAAAATACTTAGAGATAGCTTTAACCCTTCTGATTCTAAATGTTAAGTCAGTTTTCATCAACACGAAAGATTGAACAAGTGGTTTGCACTAGCAAGTGCGAAAGGAGACAAAGGAGGACCAATCGGAAGGTCTATTTACAATTACACGCGCTAATAGTTAGAAGACGCGTGAAAAAATTATGTCTACGGATAGGGAAAAATGTCAACTACCCATTTTTAACATAAGTCAGTCACGACCAGAGCACAAAAGGACCGATCAACATTTAACTTACCTCTACTTCTTCAACTCGCACAATGATCTTTCGCGCCAAACACCCTCTCAAACGAGCCTCAGGCCGTGTTTCTCCCGCCCGAGCTAACAGGTTCAAACAGGTTGAGCCGTGACGTCATAAACGGAAACGAAAGGAGCCTTGCGACAAACTGTTTATACTGTTTATGAGAACGAAAGGACGCCTCTGGGGCAGTTTGAAACAGATGCAAGGCTTGGAGTTTCACCTTATTATTAACGTTGAACCACGGTGCGTTGAACGAACTTGTAACGTCTGCGGGCGTTTTCTAGTCTAGATAACGAGTCATTCTAGTAATCTAGTGCAAACACGCAGCATATAGACCAACAGTACGATTATAATAACGAAATTCCAAATTCTGTTTCAAACTACCCCACCCTCCCTTACCTTCGTGTTGTGCTTGCGCCATTTCCTTCGTAATATGGGAAATTTCTTCGTAAGACATTTAGTGTGTTGTTAGGAAACATCACGCTGGACATTAGTGCTCTCGTCAGAAAACATGTTGACTCACGTGGTTTTGTCAGAAAACGGATGGAGTTGTGCCGTTGTGTCAGAAAACGAGTGGACTTAGGGTTGTTTTGTCAGAAATAACGAGTGGGCTTAAGTTTTTGGCACAACGCCATAACTTCTAATTTATCTCAAAATTATAGGTCTTTCGCAATTCTGAGTAAAGTTTCACCAGCACTCTGGAAAAACAATAAAACTACATTGATTAAGATGTGGACTTAAGTCCCTTAAAACCAGTGAAATTAACACTTCTAGCAGGGCCTGAAGTGAAGAACAAGAAGAACATAGACCGGAAACAGTACAAGAAATCGGCCTTTATCGGGGTTTTGGCAGGTTAAAATATAATTTTACTATGAAACTAAACTTTGTTGAATTTTGGATGGAGAACTAACACTCGTCATCAATAAATAAGCGTTATTTGAGAGCTGTTTCCGGCTTGGGTTCTTCTTCTTGTTCTTCACTTCAGGCCCGGCTAGAAGTGTCAATACACTGAGAATGAAAAAGTTTTCTCGCCCAAATGTAGATAATTAAGTGTTGAAGGGAGTAATAGCTCCCTCACACAAGTTCGGGCGTTAGACAATGCTAGACAATGCCCAAAATTTTGTTGTGCTTGTGGATCTTAAATTCCCAGTTTAGGCTGACTCCTTTTGTCCTTTGGTTCGCAGCAGACCCAAACCCGTTCTTTCCGTGGTTTCCGTCCTTCCGAGAAAGTTGTGCCACTGATCTCCACCCGAGCGCTCGCGTCCACTGTAAGAAAAAAGTACAGAACATGTCTGGTCAATAATTTGCCTGGACCGTGCGTACTTGCCAACTACGGAACGTTCCGTCCTTTTTTTCCCGTACCCATTTACGTGGGTTCATATGGAGCAAGTAAAGAACGTTCCGTACTTTTCTCCGTACCTCCGTACTATTTTATTCTGTACCATTTCCGTACAAAAGCACGGAATCTTTTACAGTGGATCTTCACCGCGGGAACTTCCGCTCAGCCGGCCCGGGCAGGGCAGGGGAAGGGGAGCGCGGAAAAGTCTCTAATACCAATCCGCCAGCCGAGGGTGCAAAGCAGTGGCGCAACTTTCTCGGAACGACGGACGAACACACAACCACGGAAAGAACGGGTTTGGGTCTGCTGCGAATCCAAGGACATAAGGAGTAAGCCTGGACTGGGAATGTAGGATCCACAAGCACAACGAAAATTTTGACATTGTCAAGCGCCCGAACTTGTGTGAGAAAACTGTCTGGCCATGAAGGCAGCTCATACTCCCTTCATCACTTACATATCTACATTTGGGCGAGAAAACTTTTTCATTCTCAGTGTATAGACACTTCTAGCCGGGCCTGAAGTGCAGAACAAGAAGGACATAAGCCTCATTTTTTATTATGATGCATAGCATTTGCACAAAATTAAGCATGCGCGTGAAAAGCACGGATTCTAGCGCAACAACGCACACGAACATGCTTTTAGTTACGCACAGATTCGTGCATTTCGAAACGCGCACTGATCAAAATTTTGTCGTAACTTAGCGACACATTTATCGCTAACTTTTTTAGCGACAAGATCTGTTGTGAAACGAATAGCTTGTTAAACTGTAGTCGTATTGGAACTAAGGGATAATTTCACAACGACTGACTTGTAATAACGCACCAACAATAATACATCAACGACAAGTATTGAAAGTCCAAAAGAAATTTTGTAATGTCTGCGACAATATTCATAGAGTACTTTTGTCGCTAAATTTATTTTGCATGGTTTTATTTTGAACAATAGTAATTTCTGCAAATGGTGACGCACGAGTTTCTTGTCATGCAAAACACGATGACTGCACGGTAAAAACGGTTCCTGGTTTTCCCAGGAGCTCCCTGGAAATCGCCTATGTCTCTACCATAGGCTTCCTGGGAAAACCAGGTTCCGTTTTCACCGTGTGAATCACCCCTGTCCATGGACTCTAGAACGAGTTTCGCTACACTGTGGAAAAAAGGGACATTTTCTCCGTTAATTTATGGCCAGAACTTTCCGTCATTTGAGACACAGGATTTTCCGTGATTTCAGACACAGGATTTTCCGTGATTTCAGATCCAGGCTTTTTCCCGAGGGGGTATTTACTCGCGTAATAGACTGTACATGTCTGGCGTAATAACGCGTAATAGAGCGTAATGGCCGTAATAACGCGTAATAACGTGTAATAACGCGTACACACTAAACTTCTTACGGATACATCCTATCTGTATTACGGACATTTTTGTGCAATTGCAATTACGGATAGATTTTGCTTGTAATACGGATGAAATCACCCGTATTACAAAGAGTTTTACGTCCGTACCATACGGATATTTGAAAATATCCGTATGGTACGGACGTAAAACTCTTTGTAATACGGATGATTTCATCCGTATTACAAGCAAAATCTATCCGTAATTGCAATTGCACAAAAATGTCCGTAATACAGATACGTAATACAGTTTTACGTCCGTACCATACGGATATTTGAAAATATCCGTATGGTACGGACGTAAAACTCTTTGTAATACGGATGATTTCATCCGTATTACAAGCAAAATCTATCCGTAATTGCAATTGCACAAAAATGTCCGTAATACAGATAGGGTGTATCCGTAAGAAGTTTAGTGTGTAATAACGTGTAATAACGCGCAATAACGGCGTAATAAGGGCGTAATAACGCGAAATGTCATTCACTTCAGCACGCTTGTTAAGTCCCTGATACAAGGAGTAGTGACGGCTAGGACGCGGCGATACTCCTTACTACCCCTCTTCCTCGCTCTTCCTGTTCTTGCCCCCTCTACCCGCCTGAACCATTTTCCCGCCACTTCAACATTGGCACGGTATGTGCAGGGGTCGGAAACGCCCTAGGGAGCTCGTGAGCGTGAGCCCGCGCCCCACCGCTGCCGACGGGCCGCGCGCGGCGGACCGCTCTGCACGGCGGTACTAAAATCGACAGAACTTTGTCAAATTTTCATCCAATCGATCAAACGAGGTCAGTTTTGGATTCTACACAAAATTTCCTTTCGATTAATAGCATTGGTTTAGCGTTTCAGGTGTTTAAAACACGTTATTTTTCAATTTTAAGTCAATTTTACCGGCAACGGACAGCCGACTTGATATTTCTCATTCGCTTAAAAAGTGATTTCTGCTTTTTTTAGGTCCATACATGCAGCGAGCCGATTGTTGGCCATAGTGTACCCTATAGCGTGGTGTGTTTGGAATGTTCAAACGGCCGCTGGGGCGACCACAGAGATCTAAAACGTAACTAGGACATTTGGTACAAAATTGGGTTTTGCAACTTTGGAGGTTAAAAGCACAGCTTTTAAAAGCGCGTTTGTCATGTTCTATACGCCTAAGCCACCCAAAATTTTATTCTCTCTCGCCCTGGCCCTGTGGTAAGGGTTTAGCGAAAGGAGATCAAACTTCAGATATCTCGCAAAAGTT